GCTTACTCAATTAAAATGATTTTAAAGTAAAACTTTACCAATCATTGTTTTTTACCCTAACGCATATGATGTATAACAATCTTAAGGATCAAAATGACTATTTCATACAGCTTATTTCTTTCTTGACTTAAATAAATACTTAAAGCTGGTATTTAATCTATAAGGTTTTTGTATACTTTGAATTATGTTTGGCTTGATATCATTGAAGGTTTCACAGAGCCATAGGAGATTATATTTTATAGGGTTAGAACCAATCGTAAACTAAACAGAAATTTGATTGAAAACTGGTTCATGAAAATTTATACATGTAACGAAGTTCGATCATGAACATAAAAAATATACCAAAAAATACTTCTTTTCAGCAAAATCGAATGTAAAATTAAATTATTTTGCAGAGGGATACTAAAGATATTGTATTTAATGTATATATTATTTAAGTAGATTTTTAAAATTTAACCTCATCTTTTTTTGCAGTGCTCTTTCTGTTTGGCAGTGAGGTCTCTCCGTTTCCACTGCCACTTTTGCAGGCTCTGTGTGTCCAGGCCGTTCAACTGAACAACTGCAGCAGTTTCCGTACTCGAATTGATTTTGATGCCCCCTTCCCCCTTATAACCACCCCTCCCACCACCCCCCCTGGCAGGACCCCCACCCACTGAGCCTTTTATTGTTGTCGGCGATGCTGTGTTGTTTGTTGATTGCCGCTGGTTGCTGGCTGTTCGTCCTGCCGCTCCTGTTGTCCTTGTGCAATTGAAAGTCAAGCCATTATTTTTTGTTTCTGCATTTCTGTACGATGGTGTTTTTCCTCTTTTTCAGCTTTTTTTTGCCTTTTTTGCTTTTTCTGTTAGCCCTTTTGTTGGTGTTTTTGGTAGTATTTGGCGTCGCCAGTCAAAGGCCACCGTCAACTGTTTAACAAGCAGAATAATGCAGAAAGTGGAATGTGGGCTAGCTGGATCCTGGGATCCCGGATCGCCCCAGTATTGGCATCAACACGATGCCACCGACACTTGCCTGTTCATTGTTGTTTATAAAATTGGCAAGGAATTTCAGCGATTTCATTGTGCGAGAGTGCAAAGAAAGGGACCAAAAATAAGCAATGCCCCCCAGCAACCCTCACCCCGACAGTTCAAAGACTGCAGAAGGAGGTCCTCAGGAAGGACATGACCACAAAGGCATTCGACTGAGATTATTAGTTTATGACCAGAGTTCCCGGCAGGTGGTGGCTTTATTATTATACTTTGACAAATCGCCAAAGCTTTTGTTCAATTAATGTTCCCTAGAAATTATTCCAATTCCAAGGCAAACACATATAAGTAAGGCTTAAACCATCTGTATCTGTGATACCGAAAAGTTAACGAAACTCCTATTAAAAATCAATTCGCACTCAAAATATTAGTTCTGGCTTTGGCCAACCAAGCAGTTATATTTAATGAGTGCCAAAAAGTTGTGTGGACTGCAATTACAGCCCTTAATTGGGGATTTTAGTGGGGCCCAGTGATTTGGCCATTAGCATATTCGATGAATAATCGATTCACTTGCACAAACACAGGGGCGCAGGCAAACCGAAGGGAGGGGGGTTGTCATGGGGGATACTTGAACTCCTTCCACAGGAGCGGAGATGGTAATAGCAATAACAACAACAGTTTCAGCCAAGTGGGCTTAATTAACGCTTTGGCCATGTAAAATGACCATAAACAGGACGATAAATTGATGGTTGATGGCAGGATGAGGGGACAGGTTGGCAGCGGTGCGTATGCGTAATGCGATAAATCCGATTGCGACATGCGGAGCGGGAAATGCCTTTCTTCAAATGTCCTTTGTCCCGAGAGGCAGCAAAAATGTAATCCTTTGCTGCGTCGAAGGACGGAATCGGTAACGGGGGTAACCGGAAACCCAGGGTAGTGGCAGGCGGGGTCAGAGTCAACAGCAAAAGGTCAGCCGCATCGATGGTAAAGAAAAATAAATAAAAAACTTGAGTTGTGCCGAGCTGAGCGTTGAAAAAACAACGACACGTGCGTCCATCCGCAACTTTATAAACTTATAAGCTTACCCCGTTTCACGTGTGACCCCAGGCCAGGTCACACACTCCCTACAATACGTATCTACGTACATGTGTGTATTGTCCCAACTACCCCCTACCCACTACCCCCTCTGTAGCCGCAGCCCCTGGCCACCGGATCGGCACAAACAAAAGTTATACACGAAAATATTTGAGGCGATTACTCTACCGGGGGCAACAGGTTCAGGTTCACTCAATCATAAGCGAAAAACTCACAGCAAATACATATCTTCCGTGGAAAGCGAAAAGATTTATATGCATCAAATTGGAAATGGATCAGGATCGGGGTTTCCCTTTCACCATTTCTCGGAACACTGCATATAATATTTCATATGATATGGTGTATAAATATTTTATTTAATGCCCAATAAGTAATTGTAAGCTGTAAATCTATCTGATATTATTTAAACAACGATGAAATAAGATTTTTAAAAGGTACAAAAATAGTTTAATCTTCAAAGCTTTGTTGTTATATCACCATGTCATGATATCATTATCATTAATAATATCATATTATATCATATCATATTATATATCATATCATATTATGTATTATATATATCCTATCATATAACATGATATCATATTATATCATAGTATATCATATCATATCATTTCATATCGTACCATATAACATGATATCGTACCATTTAATATCACATCATATCATAGTATATCACATTATATGGCTAAATAATTGGTAAAGTCCAAAGCTGCCCCAAAATACTAGAAGGCACCATGGGTGGCCAAAGTGTATGCCTGCTTCGGCTTTATCCCCACCCAGGATGTGCGACAGGAACCCGTTCCAGCCGCAGCGCCGAGGGCAATGTCTGGGGTCTAGACCAAAGTGACATTCATTGTTCCATGGGCAAGTCAAAGCGAGCGTGTAAATAAAATACGAGAGCGGCTAAGGAATGGACTGAACCGAACCGAAGTGGCGGCCCGGGCGAAATACAAAATATAATCTGCAAATAGAAAGCCGGTGCTGGAACAACAAGCAATGCGAAATGTGAAAGGCAAGTGGCTAGAAAAAATATAAATCCATAAACATGAAAAACAAGAAACGAGAAAAAGTTGCTCAACTTTCGCTCAACTTGGGCGCAAAATTTCCGTTCAATTTCAATGAGTTCGCCTGGCTGCTCTAACATCCCATTTCCCCCACCCCTTGTACCCAACCATCCTTACCAAACTTAGCTTTAATATGCAAATCGTATTTTGCAAAACTTGCTTGGATACTTGAAGGCGCCGGCTGTCAAGAGTTCTCAGGCCCCGTAAACAAGCACTAATTAGAGAGCACTCGGCGAGGACAAAAAGTGTTGCCTACTTTCGAGGGGGGCCGCCCACAATTCGCATTTGGCATTTGGCATTCCGCATTCCGCCTTCCCGATTCCCCATTTCGCCACACTGCGCAGCACAAAGCCAAAAAACCATTAATAAAGCTTAAACAAATGACAATGTCACACGCGACACATCGATGAACAGACTGCTCCTCCTTTTCTCCTTTCTCCTCCTGCTCCATTTACCACCCACAATTGTAATTTAAATCACTGAATGGGGGCGGGAGAAATGGGCATGGGCTTACGGCAATGGCATTGGGAATCTGAATGCGAATGTGAATGGCATTGCCAAAGAACCGAAACCAACAAACGAACATCTAGCAAACAGGCAAACATTCCTCTGCCAAAGGTAACGCAAAAAACAGGCAACAAAAACAGGAAAAAAAATGCAACCAGAGCAATTACAACAACAGCGGAGGTCCAAATGGGACGGGACAAAGGAGTTACGCAATGGCCCAGGGACTCGAACCTTGGATGCCCTGGAAGAAGGAATCTGGGCTCCCTAGATAAGTGAGATCCGAAGAGAGAGGAAGTCATCACATAAGGTTAAACTGTAGGAGCTAGCAAGTTGGGATTAAGCATGCAGATTCTAGAGATTCATGCGCAGCGCAAGCTATCCGCCCACAAGGAATATCAATTTTGAAGTTTGTTACTTGATTAACGGGTGTTTGATAGTCGACTGAAGCGTTCTCTCATGTTTTTAGATAAGGTAATTTTATACAAATATATAAGGAGAGCTAGTTCGTAACATTTTATGTAAACAGATGAGGTAATTTCTTTAGTTCAAAGCTCTTTTCGGGTAGCTTTATTTTATTTATTAACAAATTTCAAGTTCAAGAACCTATACAATCATATGAAAATAAACTTTTCCTTATCTACACAGTTTTCTACACTGAAAAACATGAATCGTGTGGACATTTTCTTGTTTTCTCCCATACTAACATAGCTTCCTTTACAAAAAACAAAATAACAATGAGGAAAAAAAGGTACAATTATTCCCTCATACCAAAACTTGTTCCATATACAAAATTTCCCATATAAAAATACCATTTAGAGTTAGAATAAAGTATATCAGTTAGTGCGGAATCGATCGAATATACCCTGCATCGATGGCCATAAAAGCGAGCGCCAGAAAAATCAGTGAAAAAACAATGGCAAGGGGAGTGGCGTGCGGGGGATTTGCATTCTCGAACGAGTTGTTCTGGCCGGGGATTTGTTTGCAATGCAGCGTAGTGGCAAACAAATTCTAAAAATGACTGAGCAAACGCTTTGATTTATGAAGTTATTGGGGGCTGTGGGCCACACACACATGCCCCTTAATATGGGAGTGGAAAAGGACCAAAGGACCAAAGGACCTGGAGCTTCTGCATCCATATCGGAGCTGTGGCCCCAGGCGTCGCATTTGTTGTGGCGCCCCCCTATAGGTACCCCCTTCCCGAAACTCCCAACCCCAAGCCGATCCGATCCCAGCCGATCCGATCCGCCCCTCGAACAGCATACTGCAGTCTGTGCTCCGTGCTCTGTGCTCCGCCCTAATTCAATAAAATACAGCTGACTGAGTGCTTGAATCATGACCCGGCGATTTGAAATGTTTGCCGGGTGTTTGGATGTGTGTTTTAGATGTGGAAGTGGATGATGTGGATGTGGATGTGGATGTGGATGTGGGCAACGATGGAGCTGAAAGGCTTAGCAGTTTGCTGAGCACACGCTCCGTGGGGAAATCTCTTTTGTTTTTTCCACTTCGCGCAAACATTTTCCCTGCACATGGAAAAATCGCATGTATAATAGGCATTCATTATTTTTAATAATTTATATGAAATCGCAGAGACGAACAATTTTATTACCCTGGTGAGCAACATGAGATTCTAAAGTCTTATCTCCGGCATTTATAGATTTTCTATGAATTTTTTCCGCGCTTTTAATAAGAATAATGAATTATTTGGAAGCCTAGCTATGAGACACACTGTCAACATAGGTCAGCTGATAATTATGAACTTATAATCTAAGTAGGTCATATTTCGGGAATTCTTATGTTAACCGTATTGTTAACTCAAATAAGTTTTAATAAAACTGGCGAATTATGTGGCGTCTATATAAACTGTGCCAAGGCTCTTCGTATCATTCAGTTTAATTCTGATTTTCCAGTGGTCAGCATAATGAAGTCGATCTTCTTGGTGATTTTCCTGTCGTCTTTGCTCCTAATCGAGCTGACTTTCAGCAGTGAAGAAATCGTTAAGGAGGCAGGAAGTATTAAAGAGAAAAGCACTGAAGGGTCGGTTCCTTTGTCTCTCTACTTCACGCAAGAAATGATCAAATTAAGGACTGTTTCGAGAACATTAAGGGAAAAGATAAAATTATAAGTGATAGAGATGAGGAGCTCGAGAAGAAGGATCAAGTAATCAAAGGCTTGGAAGATCATATTAGATCTGTTTCCGAAGAGCTATATGAGATTACCGATCAACTTCTGACCGCCAATGGTACCGACCGATGCCCCATTGGCAGTGAAAGTGGCATTTACAGAGTGAAAATTCCCGGACTAAGGAACTTCGAGGCTGCCTGCAATGAGGGAGGCTGGATGACGATCCAAAGGCGTATCGATGGATCTGAGAACTTCACACGCGACTGGGAGAGCTATAGGAAACTATACCTGATGACTGATCAACGACCTTGTGAGCTCGTAATTAAACTTGGCGACGCTAATGGAACCACCAAATATGCCTATTACGATGGTTTTAAAATCGGCAATGAGGAGGCATTGTACAAGATAATAAATTTGGCCTTCCGTTCTGGTACAGCCGGGGACTCTATGTTCTGGAACAAGAACAAGAAGTTCTCCACTTTCGACCGGGATAATGACCTTATTCCTAGGGATTGCGCCAAAACGCACAGTGGTGGCTGGTGGTTCGCTGAATGTGGATATAGGTAACCTAACTAAACGTAATCTCATATGGAATGTATTTAAACAGACTCCTTGAATTGCAGTTCGCTCAATGGGAAGTACCATGCGGATGGCTTTGCTCCTCACCGAAACGGAATTCATTGGGGTACCGCTCATGGCTACAATTACACGGTTTCGCTGCTCTCCACTGAAATGATGATAAGGCCAAAGATTTGTAACCATTAAAGAATGAATTAAAAAATGTAACGATGCACAGAAATTTCTCACAGTGTTCCCCCTTTTTTCACGGCGCCGCAACAAAGCACCAAGTTGAAGCGGAAAATCCCACCGAACTGAACTAAAACCAAAGCAGCGGCGGCGGTGAATCGAACGTTTTTGATTCAATAAACGTCAATAGGTGAGTCGAACCACCCAGACCCATCCAGTACCACCACCCACTGGAAAAGCGGGCTGGGATCTGGGGACCTGAAAAATCGACGAGCGATGAAAGTTGAACTAATAAAGCGACGTGATTTGAAGTCGGAAGTTCCTCGAGGCCTCAAGTGGCCAACGTGGCCAAAGGAGAGCAATAAAGTTGGCTCAGTCTGCCAGCAAATAGCCGGCAACTTTATTTATATTCATATTTGCCAGCTTCTCGGGGATGCCTTAAATCCAACACCACATGTGGTAATTGGTTTAATTTCTTTGGTCGCCGTCGTTGTCTGCAAAACTATCCAGGATATCTATACATGCAATTACCCGATTGATTGCCCCTTTTGCGGCTCATAAATACTGCAGATTGATTGCCTTATTAAACTTGCAACAGTTTCGCCTCGCAATCAATTCATATTAATAGCCGAAACTATTTTATTGAAACTCGGGCACAATGAAGTGCTGCATTTTTAATGGGAAGCTATTAGGAAGGGGTTCTCGAGTGCTTATGAAGGCCTTCCCAGAGTGGGAATAATTTGTATTGTGGTTTAGTTTGCGGATTATTATTTTTTAAATTATGCAAAAATGTTTAACTAGTCAGGTAATATTACGTGCATTATTTTTAAAATCATATATATTTCAAAACAAATTTCATTGATTTCCTGTAAAACGATTCAATAGAAACGAAATCATTTGTCGATTGATCTTTTCCGTTTTTAAACATTCTCTGCCGGCCATTCATTAGCATCGATTGTAACTATTATGCTGTGGCATCCAACGAGTTTATCAGCCATCCATTTCGCAATTAAGAACAATCAATGTTTTTGTGAACAAATGCGATGTTACCGCACTGCCTCCCCCTTGAAAATTTCCCTTTCCTGCAATTGGCGAATGCATGTAGTTTAATTACCGAAATTTGTTCACCCCGAGTTGGTCCATGGAAGTTGAACGAGTCGCAGGGAATTGTTTATGCAGCTGCCACTGCTTCAAACTAGTTAGCATAAATATATAACTATATAGCTGCGCTCTTTCTCTATAGTTTTTCGCCGACAGAATTTGTGAATATTTCTGGTTTGTCTTTTTCTGGTTGAGTTAAAAACATACATTGCATTGCAGTACATGTTGAATTTTTGTGCAATTTTTGCGGTGGTTTTGTTTTTGCCAATTGGCCGCAATTAGCTAGCTAAAAGCCCTCACTCACACACAGATACACACACGCATACACGCACACACGTATCGTGTTAATGGGCGTCCCGAAAAGTATGCAATCAAATTATGAAACTGCAAGCATAAAAGGAAAACATCAACGCACACAAACTAAGTTAGAAGCCTTCACTGCAGTGGTCACGCCCCCAGGACCTCCGCCCACCGCCCCTTTTTATTTTCCGCAGGACTCCTTCTCACAGACATTTTATCAAGTTGCATGCGGCGGACTTAAGTTGAAGTTAAAGTTAATGCCATGAATTTCAAATTGAATTGAATGCGTATGGTGTCTCCGGTACAGTGACCACTGGCCCAGTGACCGCGTAACCGCCAGCAGGCCAGGAGCCCATGTTCAAGTTGTCCAACTCTGGTGGCCACTGCCTGCGAGTGTGTGCGTGTGTGCACTGGCAAAAATATGCAGTGAATTAATCAATTTTACATAGCATTTTAATATTATCTCAAGGTTATCAGGAATTTGAGAAAATTCTTTATTAACATACAGACCTACTATGAAATTGAAAATGTAAAAATGCACTGGAAAAAATGGCTTTGCTAAGAATTTTACATTTGCTTACTTAGAAATATTAGTGATATTTTATAACATATTTATTTGTGTATTTTGTATATTTTTAAAAAGAATTTATGTGAATGGTAATGATATCTACTTTTTCTCTGAGTGTATATATGTGTGTGACAGCAAGCAATTGTATGTAATGGCAGCAGCAAAGGGAAAGGGAGGGCGGGGTCAGGGGGCAAAAAGGAAACGAAGTTAGCCATGATGAACGCTGAATTTACGCAGAAAGTTTAACGGCGCACAAAAGTATGCTACGCTTTTGGCCACTTATTTATTATTGGCCTGGCCGCAAACACACACACACACACACACACACATACGTGCGTGTCCTTAAGCTCCTGCAGGCCCCATAACTTCCCTCCCAAAGGCAACCTCCCTTGACCAACGGACTTACCGCACAGGACAACTTGGACTAATAGCAACTGCCCTGCCCCATCCCCCTGATTTAGACCCGGCTTTTCCTCCTGGTTTTCCTCATGGCTCTCCTCCTGGTTCTCCTCCAGCTTTTCTCCCCTTCGACTGAACTGGGCCGTTGTCGCTGGTTAAATAATTTAGCAATTTGTATGCATGGAAAGCGCTGCGTGGCTTCGCCAGGATAATGCCGTAGCCGAATAAGCGCATCATGGAAATACATAAAATCGCATCAACAGCAACAGAAAAATCTCTCGCCCTCTCTTTCGCTGGCTTCGATGTGTGTGTGTGAGTGTGTGAGTGTGTGGAGGTGTGTGGTGTGTGTGGCGGTGCGGGTGCGGCAGTAAAAGCGCAGTGAGAGCGGGGTAAATGAGCATTCAAGGAATGCAATCCGACACACGCACCGGCACCAAAACACCGAGCAGTTGGCCAAATTTGCCCAAGGAGCTAAAAGGCTCAGTGCAGAGAGCAAAAAAACGGGTCTAAATTAAGTAAGTGCTATAAAATTGTGGGATTTTATAATTCCCAATAAATTTGAACAGTCTTAGGGACCTTAACAAAGAAATATATGTATTTTGCCTGACGACTGCCGTTGTACGCTGTACGTGTGCCGGCAGAGTTATTTCCTAAGCCCGGGTAACGGGTTAAAGTGCTTTATACTTTGTTCCTAATATTAGTACGATTCTCTGCTCATAATATATTTCCCCGTTAACCCTTCATGGTTTTCTTAATATTCCAAATTTCAAGACATTTTCCATCACATTTCCTAGTTATACTAGACGTTTTCTCTCAGTGCCTGCACATATGTATTAGCACGAGGATGCAGATTCGACTTCGGCGGCTAGTTTGGTCCATGGGATACGTGGACTGGGGGCGGGGTGACCCAAAAATGTTATCATTTGGCACATTTGTACTTTACGTCTGCACTGGTGTCTGTGTCCGAGTTTGTGTGTTGGTGTGGCTGCCAAATTTTGGAAAACCCTGGCCTCGAAAGGATGGGCAATGGGATGGGCATCCATTTCCTTACCCGGTCAGTTTCTCAGTTCTGGGCGCTGCATTCCGGCTTAAAGATACAATTCCTTTTCACCCCCTGCCATTGTTAAGGATTTAAGAGTGTAAGTCCTTGTAGGACTTGTTGTTTCTGGCCCACTTGAAAAGGCCACAAAGATGGAGGTCATGATGGCACTATAATCGGTATCTTTAGTGCTGGAAATTCGCCCAAAAATAAATCCCTAAATTGTATACTCTTAAATTCTATAAAATTAGATAAAAATATAATAAATGAAACGCTCAAATGTTCCGTGTTTTATTTTTAGGTAGCTTAGTTTTTGGGCTTCCGCTCTGAATGGTGTCATTCATAAATCCAGCCGATCTCTGCCATTCGATTGAGCCTTGCATTCAATTAGGCTATGGCCTAAAAAAAGGCTATATCCCTGTTCTTCACCCATTCCCCGCCGGCAAAGTGGCGGAGGAAAAGAGTCACGTACTCATATTAAAAATAACCGAAAAGCGTTCCTAAGTGGCAGGAGAACGTGCAGTGAAATATATTTGAAAGACCCGTCATGGGGTTAGGTGGTCTGTAGCTAAAAAAAAAAGAAGGAAGGACCTGTTTTGGGTACGGGGGCTTCAATGTATTCCAAGGGGGTGTGCATCCGAGTTATGGGGAAATCGGGGAAAGCGGTAAAACGAGGAAAAGCAGACGTCGTCATGGCGAACAGTCCCTGGCGACCATTGACGATGACGGCGACGACGACAAGTACGATGATGGCTGACAAAGTGGAAATGTCCCATTGAAGATGACGTTCCATTTCCCCTGCCCAAAAAAAGAAAAGGAAAACTTCGTAACCCCCAAAAACCTTCGTCTAGTGACGAAAGCGGCGAATCGACGCGCATATTTCTTGTTTGATTTCTGCGTCTACCTCTGCCGCTGTCACTGCCGCTGCCACAGCTGTCAAAGCGTCAAACATCTTTTGCCGTTTGCCTGACAAATGCGTGCCGCTCCCCCAAACCCCCTTTTCGGCACCCATGTACCAGCCCCTCCCCTCGTGGCCTTCGCCCTTCATCCGCAGTCAGTGACGTGCGCCTCGTTTCGTTACCCGGTCCCTGTCAACTTTCTGACTTTTGCATTTACTTATTTATGGCAAGAGTGCACTGAGCGAAAAGTACCTAAGAAGTAAGGGGAAAAATAAGAACTTCATGAGCATTTTTTAAGGAATTTTGTAGTATTTTTTAGGGTAAAAATGGGGGTATATTCCTTATACAAGGGGATCTTAAAGTTTCTTTGTTATATAGTTACATTTCTTAATCCTTTGAAGACATTCACTGAGCGAAAAGTACCTAGACAAGTAAGGGAGAATTTAGTAAGAAATATTAGAAGATTTTCTTGTGATTTATTGTAGGTTAAAAGATGGTGTATGGAGTGTATGATGGAGTGTATGCTTGATAAAAAGGATAGGATTTATATACTACTGGAAAAGATGTATTTTGGGTGCTATACAAATGCAATTTTATTTTAAATACTAACTATTTGATGTGTAAGGACATTTAAAATCCCTGAATACTATAGGATTTATTATCAATCAATTTTTAATACCTTTACCCCCATTTTTCTCAGTGCATGCGTGTG